CACTCACTCACTCTCTCACACACACACACACACACACACACACACACACACACACTTCTGTATGCTTGCATGTGCAAGAGTTTAATACAGTCAGATGAGTCTTAAGCAGGATTTGACTTTGCATTCCATGTTTTCAATAAACTCTGTTTAGTTTTTTTAAAGGCAAGAGGTCATGTGACATCCTTTGTTGATAGACATTATTTCCTGAATTCCATTTCTGTGTAGTAATTCTAAGCTCTCTCTGTATTACTGCATCCATGGAGTTTCTGGACAAACCAGTCATTATTTATCATTGCCTTTCCCTTAAAATATAACTGCCAGTTGGAAAAGAAATTCTAGCAATCACACTGTGATGTTGGGGAAGTGAATGATTGTGCTTTCCAAGCCACGTGAAGTGTGTGTTTCTGCATCTTCATATAAAGAAAATGGAGATTGACACTTTTTCTGACAGAATAAGTGTTCTTGAATAGGTTCTTTGAGCATAGAAACATCTCAGGAGGTCAGATGGAGAAGCTCACTCCAGATGACGATGTTCTGTTGCTCACATATTGCTGTTTCATAGTTCATAGTTTAAGTATCACCTTTGTCTCTGATTTTACCTAGACTATTATTGGCACATAGTATAGTGTTGTAAAATTATATAGAGTTGTAAAATTAATGTAGTGAAGATTAAGTCAGTAACTTCAATATTGATTTGGATGTTATGATGATTCATTTAAAGTTCAATTAGATTTAAACTCAATATTTTAAATTTTACTTATTATTATTATGCTCTGACAAAAAAAAAATCACTTTAACGGGCTTTATGTATATACAATTCAAAAGTACTTTTTTTTTTATTACTCAAGAAATTAATACATTAATACTTATATTCAGCAAGGAGGCAATAAGCCGATCAAACGTAAGAGTAAAGACTTATAATGTTACAAAAACATATTTATTGGTGTTCTTTTGAAGTTTTTATTCATCAAAGAATACTGAAAAAATGTATCACAAAAATATTAAGCAGCAAAACTATTTTTTAACATTAATAAGAAATGTTTCTTGAAAAAAATCAGCACATTAGAGTGATTTCTGGAGGATCATGTGACACTGAGGACTGGAGTAATGATGCTGAAAATTGGAGCTTTGCCATCACAGGAATAAATTACATTTAAAATATACGTTACATTAGAAAAAGTCTTCTTCTTTTAAAAACATCAAAAACATCTTATTGACCCTAAACTTTTGAACAGTAGTGTATGTTAATTGTATATTACTACCACTTCCTCACACACCAGTCATGTTTCTTTAGACGTTTGGATGGTGTGAAAGTTGCTGTGAAAGGCTATGTGTTTTGACCTTTTCATATTCACTGTTACACTAGTTAAGATGTTATTAAACAATACATTCATCTGTAATGTTTCATAGAGCACCCATGGATAGTTTCCAATTGTAAAGCACACAAAGTGTAACCGCTAACTTCAACTCATTAATTATTTGGCTGTAAAAGGCTTTTTACCTTCATTCAGCATGAGAAGCAGAGGTTCGCCATGAATGAAAATGAGAACAGAGTCCAGCAGGCTTGTTCAATGTTCTGAAACAAGATGAGATTGTTAACGTTCCATGCGGCAAGTCAATGTCTCCATATGAGATGCAAAAAAGCAACACTATGACAGTATTGTAATTCACTTAACTTACATTCTCTATATCACACTCAAATTAACATTCCAATATTTCTTGCTCACTTGGTGAAATATTTGGAAATCTCATTGTGGCAAGAGCTGGAACCTCATTACCATATAAATGTGTTCCAAGCGCTCTGGTTTCATTCGGAAGACATGTCTGCTACAGGTTCAGGAGCTGTTTGCTTTGCAGATCTTTCAGGATTTTATTTGACCTTTGTAAAGAGGAGGAGTAAATGGAAAGGCACAGGCCAGTCTTTAAATACATGATCCAAACAGGAAGTTTGGCAGAAATCCCTTCACCTCTCATCTCTTCTGATTTTCCAGGTGCTTTTTTATTGTTATTCTCATCATTCTCTATTTCTGGTCTTCCTTCTGTCTTGTCAGATATGAGGGGTCCTGCAGGCCACTGGATGTCATGTGGTCACCCGTGTGCTGAACGTGCCGAGTGGAACCCCAAATTCTGTGTGGTCACCGACTATCAAATGCTGCTGCTGGACAAAGAGGAGGTATTATACAATGACAAAGAAAGAGCCGTTTCTCATGTATCCCACATGCCCTTACAGTTTTTCTTAACTGGCTATGGTATTTAAATCCATTTCAGGTGATATGATAAATATAGGTGTAAACAGGGTTCAGTTGGGTCATTGAAACCAAATTAGGTTGTGGTTAGAAATGCATGTGATCACATTGCGTATGTCATATATTTATTGCATATATTTATCACATATCGCATATTTACTAACATAGTGATTTTTGTCAAATATTTAGCTGTAAATGTCTTGTTTGTGCTAAGATTTAACTGAAAAGTATATTTGGGAGTAACAGTGGCTATTTATTTGTACTTTTTTTGCGCTTAATAAAAATGAAATTAATCACTTTTTTCTTTTTGCTTTAAGGAGTCAGCAAAATCTTGTGTTTTGTGACTTGAATACTTATAGTAACTGCCCGCAAACTTATATAACTTAATATAAAAAAATATATTTTTATATGATATATCTATATTATATTATTATTATATGAATATATCTTTATATACACTACCATTCAAAAAATTTGGGATCAGTAAGATTTAAAAAAAATAAATTAATACTCTTATTTAGCATTAAATTAATCAAAAGTGACAGTAAAGATATTTATAATGTTTCAAAATATTTCTAATTTAAATGAATGCTGTTATTTTGAACTTTCTATTTAAAGAATCCAGAAAAAAAATTGAGCAGCACAACTGTTTTCAACATTGATAATAATATTAAATCTTCATTGAGCACAAAATCACCATATTAGACTGATTTCTGAAAGATCATGTGACACAGTGACTGGAGTAATGGCTGCTGAAAATTCAGCTTTTCCATCACAGGAATAAATTCACTTTGCTTTTTTGCACAGTAACAAATACTAAAAAGAAAAACCAAAAATCTAGTGTTTAGAAAAAAAAAGGGAAGAGGCAGAAGGACAAAGTATTTTGTGCTGGTTGTGACTGAACTAGTCCAAGCACATGAGAGCGAATAGCGTGTTAGCAGTGTGTAGTTTGTCATTGTGACATGTGCAGAAGTGCGGTACATCAGCAGGCTCCCTGAGCTCACTTTTCGGTCTGGCAGCCAAGACACACGGCGTTCCACAGGGACAATCAATAGATGGCCCACACTTGCAAAGAATATATGCTGTGTACTGTGGTCGATAAAGCATTTTCCTCTCGCCCATAGCTCACGCTGTATGTCGAATCCTCTGTTATCAGCCAGAGAGCAGTGCTGTAATAAATCTCCACTCCTCTATTACTGGCCAGGCAGAGCAGTAGTGAATGATTCTCTGCTGGAGGCGGAGCAAAACTCCTGGCAATACCAGATCTTTAATGCTTAGAGAAATTTGTTTATGTACTTACTGTACTTATAGGATTATTTTTTCCCCATTCATTTATTTATAAAATCATCCTGGTCTACATGAGCCCAACTAGCGTACACTTGCCTAGAGCTCTCTTTATTTTTTATTACTATGCATATTAGCCAATATTTAAAGTAGCATGATAAAGGTGCCTTTGATAAGTAAAGTAAATGAAGTAATAAACAGTGTTGTCTTTATCCACAAATGAAAATTGCTCTTGTGCTGCAAATGTATGTTCAGATGCATCAATTTTATTCATATGAAGTACAATGTTGTCTTTTAATTCAGTTTACACTGTGAGGGGAAGAAGTAACTCAGCTTTGAAGTTTTTATACAAGAGGTCAAAATATGATGTAGGTAAATATTTAGGTATTGTGTGTGTACTTAACCATTATTCGGGAACAAATTTGTAGACATAGCTAAATCTGACAATCTTCTTTTGGGAGTGTTCTCATTTGTAGAAACTGTTTAAAAATAAAGTAAATAAAGCCTTATTTGCAATTTTGTAATTGTAAAAGTGCAGACATTTTTCTATTAGGGTGTGGGTTAGGGTAATAGTATTTACAGTGCCTTCATTTTTTTTTTTTACATTTTGTTATGTTGCTGCCTTATGATAAACTTCTTTAAATTACTTTTTTTCCACATCAATCTACACTCCATACACCATACTAGGGCTTGGGTTTTGCTCTGATATGCATTATCAGCTGTTAGACCTTTTATTAAGACTGATTTTATTTTGCCTTTCCAAATCATACCCATTCAATTGAATTTGCCACAGGTTAACTTCACTGGAAGTGTAGTAATATCTACAAGCAAAATTAATGCTCTTGAGCTAAATTTTTAACTGTCCCAGATAAGGATATGAATACTTATGCAATGGAATCATTTTAGTTTTTTATTTTTAATAAATTTGCAAAGATGTTAAAAACCAGTTTTTTTGCTTGACAATTATGGTGTATGGAGTGTAGATTGTTGTGGAAAAAAACGAATTTAAAGCAGTTTAACATAAGGCAGCAACAAAACAAAATGTGAAAAAAATTAATGGGTATGAATACATTCGCAAGGCACTGTATACGGCAAGGCAAGGCAAGTTTATTTATATAGCACATTTCATACACAATGGTAATTCAAAGTTCTTTACATAAAAGGAAGTAAAATAATCATAGAAAAATAAACACAACAATGTAGTAAATTAGCTCAAAAGGGAAATGTATATAAATAATTACAATTAATTACAATTATTTACCTCAGCTGCCAGTAGTAACTGTAGCAGAATTAATATTACAATCAACTAATCTGTTCGTCCAGCGAACATTCGGTATAATTTCATATCAACTCTAAGAAAGATATTTTCGTTGCCACAGAAAATAACTTTCTTACAGTAATGCATTAGAGCATGTAGCTATAGATCGGATCGTAAAAGGGACACTATATAAGATAATGATAGAAAAATTTGTCAATTAATTAATGTAAGAAGTAATTTCCTATAGCAGTATGTGTCTGTTTGAGAGAATTAAGTAGGAGGGAAGATTCACTCTACATACTTTAATACGTACATAAAGTTTATCTGATCTGACTGCAGGTGAATGTCAATGTCTCGCAGGTAGGCGTGGACGTCATGGTCTCCTGCAAGTTCTGGTGTGAATGCAGGGACGTGTCTGTCCATTCGGTTGAGGTCTTTGAGTGTCACTCTGTGTCATTTCAGAGTTTGTCTGAATTGATCCTTTTCCTTCTGCGGCTGCAGAGGTTTCCAGGAAACTGACTTGTGAAGTGTCAAGCAGAAGGCTTTGACTCCCTCCTTTGTATCTGTGTACAGGGGTGAGGGGGTTTTCACTGCTGACTGTG